ACACACACACACACACACAAAAAACCCTTGTCCTCAAGGTGGAAGTCGAGAAAGTGCAGTTGAAAGACACCAATGTCTTCTTATCCATATCCTGAGTTATCCAATCGTAGGCCTTGCCCAAACCAGGATCTCCTTGTAAGGACACCCTATCCTTCCCTAGGCATGGTCATTGTCTTCCAATTGACATCCATTTCCCCCAAATTCGCCAACCACCGCATACCCATTATGGCATCCCAATTGTTCAACTCAATTGGTAAAAAATCTTCTACAATGGTTAACGATTGCAATGACAAAACCACTTCTCGACAAATTCTTTTCCCTTTGACCTATAGACTAGATCCCACTAAAACATCATAGATTGACGTCTCAATTGCCGGACTTCCAGAACCTATTAAAACGACTACCTCATGTTGCAATATCACTCCTTTAAGCTTCATTGTCTTGGGCTTTGGTGATCCAACCACCGAGTTCAATGACAATTGTATGGTTTCACCTACACCCATTGGGTCAAAGATCCAATCGCTCTTGTCTTCAAACTTCCCTACACCCTGCTCTTCTTCATCATTTACTATCAACACATGAAGCTCCTTGTTCTTACAGCGATGTCCAATTGAGAATTTCTCATCACACTTAAAACAAAGGCCTTTCTCCCATTTCGCTTGCAGTTCCAAATCCGTTATTTTCTTAAACGGAGATTCTCTTTGTTGAATAACTTGTTGATCAGAGTTTGTCAAAACTTTTGTCTGAAAATTGTTCGAGTTTTGCACTGGAATAGCATCACTAGGTGATGCCTAAGCACCCTGCCACCTTGTGTTTTTCTCACCATACTCAACGCCGCATTTCTATCTTCCACCCTTTGGGCCACTTCCATTAAGCGAGCAAGACCCACTGGCTGCATCATTCTTATTTTGGCTCTTATTTCTACTTTCAAATTGTTGACAAAGACCCCTTCCAAGACTTGCTCGGGAATGTCGTTTAGTGGGGTAGCCAGACTCAAATCGTCGTCTATAATCTGCCACCATCCCTTCTTGTCGAATTGCAAGAAATTTCTCACAGGGTGTACCTTCCTGCGATGGTCGGAACCGCTGCAACACCATCACTTTGAATTCATTCCAACTCCGAAACGGCCGCCATGCATCCTTGTCCTCCCACTGGTACCAAAAGAGTGCGTCCTCCATCACCACCCATGCTGCCAGCATATCTTCTCTCTCTCTCTCAGGCAAACGGTTCGACGAGAATTACCCCTCAGCTCTAAAGACCCATCCATCAGGGTTTTCTCCTTGGAAGATAGGCAGTTCTAGCTGTCGGCCCCAAAATCCATCTCAACCATAAACATCTTTGGGCAACTCAGATAGCCTAGAAACCCTAGAATTAGAAACCCTAGGTTCCATCGTCTTTGTCTGTCCGCCTCCCAACTCGCGCCCCTCTGAAACCCCCGGCATAGTTGTTCCCGTTTGTCCACCCCTCGAGCTCGCGCCTCCATCGCCGGTGCGACAGTTGCCTCCGCTGCAAACGAACGCACGCGTTATTCCGCCCCCATGGACACTCAGTCCCTTTCCTCCGTCAACTTTACAAGTTGCGCAACGCTCTGAGCCAAGAGCTCCATATTTCTCTCCAGATCAGGCAATTTCTCAACGTTCTTCTCAAAATTCGACAATCTTTGCGATTCAGCCCTAATATCCTCCAATTTACTATCCATTGCATCGAGCCTCCCATCCGTCCGTTTCTTAGCCATTCCAAGATCAATGCTCTAATACCAAATGATAGAATCATAGGGTTTTCTTCTATCAAATTCAATAAGAGTTTGAAACAATCAATAGGGAATTGTAGTACAGAATCTGGAAAAACCAACAAAAATGTACAAGAACTGATGGAGAATTCGAGAGCTCTGACTCTCCCAATTCTCAAATAAATGCCTGCCTCTAATCACTTTGTTTCTCCTCTACATATAATGCTCCTTGAGTTTTACTAACAAATTAGACAAGTCTGTCTAACAAACTTCTAACTACCTCCTGCATTCAGCAACAAACGTATACATACATACATGTGTGTGTGTGTGAGCACACAATGGCGTAGTTTTACAGTCTATGCAAACTGTGTAATCATCAATACAACCAAGGGGAAAAAGGGAAAAAATACATATAATAAAAAGGTATTAAGTAATGACAATGCTTTCCTAGGCCATAATACAATTCTGTTATTCACTTTGGGAAACTATCATAGTTTTGGAATTGCTTCCAACCAAAAAATTAGCAAAAATGTACAAGATTTTGATGTGTGCCATTGAATGAACCAAAGTACTGATGCAAATTCATTACTACTAGCACAGAGTGTAGTACTTTTCTTATCTATGTAGCTGGGTGGTTCACAAAGCTAACAAAATGCATTACCAATTTCAGCGAAAGAAACCAAAAGTAGAGGAGATTAGAACTTACAATTCCACCGTAAACATATCCCAGCGCAACTCCAGTAGGTATGCACATGTAAAACATTGCAAGCCATGCAGTTTTCTAGACCCCATGACGAAGAGTTTAGTATTACTTTCAAAAATAATTGAAGAAAACAAAGCAAATTAAGATTAAACTAGAAATCCAAAAAAAAAAAAGAAAAGAAAAAGTAAGGCGAGTAACGAAACAAACCTGAGCAGCAGGAGCATTATCATCAATATACGGAGCAGCAAGACTGATAAAAGATGCCTCACCAACACCAACGAGCCTAGAAGGGCAACATAACAGTATAGACAATAATGTAGTCATTGAATATGACATAGTTGAAAGTGGCAACTAAGAGCACATGAAAATAATGAAATCACCAACAAATTTTCACTCACATTCGACAAAACGTGATTGAGAAAAAATCAAATGAACAACCACATCCAGCTGTAGCGAAAGTCCAAACAGATAATCCAACTCCAATAAGCCTAAATGGATTATGGCTGCAAGGGAAGAAAGATATAAAGACTCGTAAACTAAACCACCTAAAAGATAAACCGAAAAATAAATAATAATTTTTATTCAAGAAGAAGACAATCCCAAGTACACATGAATAAATAAGAGAAACTACAGCAGGTATTCACCTCTTCGCCAAGGCTGCAAATATTGGTGAAGCCACCAGAAGTCCAACCATAAATGCAGATGACAAAACACCATCTTGAAAATTGTTCAAGTTAAAATCCCCCCTACAAGAAATATAATAATATAAGTCACTAGTTGTCCATGAAATACAAAGCTCGTGGTTCTTATATTCTTACCACATATAGCACAATATACCATTGATACATTAAGATAAAAAAAGATTCATAACCATCCACAGTCCAGTTTGAATCGATCTAAAACAGCTTATTATGTATATGATTCGGAGTGCCAACTATTAAACGGCTTATTAGAAACACGACAGCCACTCAAAACTGTCATGAAATCCCACTCTCTGGGCTGTCCCATGGAAAAACTACTAGGGTGTATCTACACTTAAGGAACCAAATGCTAAAACATATCATGCTTAACCACCAAGCCAAATGTTTGGGTCTCAGAGAAATATGATCTAAAATGTACCATGATGGTGCAAATAATTCATGCCTAGGATATTGTTAAGAATTAGACATCCCAAGTCTATAATAACGAAAGCAATATAATTGCAGAAAATAAATCAAATAAACACGAACACGCAAGATTCATAAAATCATACACCTCTCAACTATTCGTGTTTTCTCTAGCCTCACTAACAACCCTAAAGTACCCTTGATAAAGTTTTGTAAGGCAATAATTGGTCTCCACAATATCACCGGTCACCAGAGGAAATTCTTTTTTTTTTTTTTTTGGAGAAGTTAACAACCAGATAAAGGAATTCTATTACTATTTGTGGAAGTCAAATTAGCTAAGCTTTATACTCATGGGCAGAAAATCTTACTGAAGTCCACTACCCGAAGTGCAAATTCCAGTCTCGGAGCAAGTACCAAGGCTGCCATTTACACCATTACTCGCTATAGCTCCGCGATCAACGTAATTCAGCATGTTAATCATACAGAAGATCATCAACAACCTAAAAAACGCAACAAGCACACAAACAATCCATCATATTCCATAATCAACCGGCCATTGAAATTCAGCAAAGATTAAACAAATTCCGATCTAAAAGAGCTTAATAGAGTCGAGAATTACAAAGGCCCGTTCATTTCGCCGATTCGAGTTTGGTTACAGTAAAAAGCTCTCAGAAACAATCACATCTAACTTTTTTGCTACAAAGCTCTCACACAAAATCACATCTCAACTCGAATTACAAACTCGAATCAACGAAGTAAACGGGTCCAAAGTTTAAGGGGAGAATTACAGAGATTAAGGGCAAAATTCCAGAAATTGAAGAGGCCGTAGCAAGCGTACCTTTTGGGCGTAAACCAGGAAGGATTGGAAGTTGAGGGTTTGGTCGAACTCGTCATTGGAGATTAAATCTTTGATCGAGAAAATCCTCGGTTTTGGATTCAGAAGTTTGGTCTGTTTTGTGTGTAGTTGATGACTTTGTAGATGGCTGTGAATTTGCAAGGTTTCTGTTAGGTTTTTCTTTTTCTTTTTCTTTTTTTTTAATGCAAGCAATCAATCCTTCCAAGTCCAACATCCTGTCGGTTTTAACGGATACACTCGTCTTCATAATTAACTCTCTTGTTCCAAAACTTTTAGGGGATGTTTATTTTATGTATTTATTTATGGTTCTGAATCATAGTTTATAATTTTTTATAATATTTTTTTTTTGTAAAAAATTTAAATTTTAAAAATTAGAATTATAAATCATAATTTTAAATTCATAAACTAAATGTTACTTTATATGTTTACTGGGTGTTTGGTATGAGAATTTGTGTTATGGTTTGAATTATAATTCGTAACTCGTTAGTTTTTTTTCTTACAAAAAATATACGTAAATTGAGAATGATTCTGAATTTGTGAACTAAACGTACACTTACTCATATAGCCAATTTTTTATATAAAAATTTAAATTTAACAAAAATTTTAAAATATTATAAGAATACTAAAATTTTATATTATTTTTATATTGTTAAAATAATTACTATATTATTTTATAATATAAAATATAATATTATTATGATAATTATAATGTCATTTTTACTATATTCATTATATTAAAAATTTTGTTAAATTTCAATTCAAGCTATGAAATTTTGCCCATGGAGCAGTGTAATTATTACTATTTTTTGTGTATTGCGGTTTCTGTACGGTGCTTGACTTAGGCAGCTTCAAGCCCGTGGGCCGAGCTTGGCCTACATACCCAGGCCAGCTCTATTAGGGCTTGTAGGCCGGGGATGGGCCTCCCTTTCCCTTTCCCGACCCGATCCATCTAATCATATTTCTCCTTTCGGCATTCAAGTCACAATGACAAAAGGTTTGGCCAATCATTCATCATCTCTAAGAACCAAAATGTTATTGTTTTAGGGTGTCTCACTACTGACATCAACGCAGTTAACTTTCAGTTGTTTCACGTTTCACATCCAAACACCAATTCGAACCACAATTTAAACTACATAGTTTGAATTTTTCTGTTCAAATAAAAAAAATTCAAATCAACAAAATTGGAACCAACAAACCAAACAGGGACTAAGTTATTAACATTTATTTTTATTTTTTCTCTCTAAAATTTGACATAAGTAAGGTCTATGATTGGTTAAAATGGGATAGGATTTTGATGTAGAAAAGCTTTAGCTATAATACTCGTTTCATTTATTTATATTGTCATTTGTTTTAGCTTAGCAACTTAGCTTTGATTTTGTGATCTATTTTCGTTAATTGTTTAGTGCATCATATGTCGTAGTGGTTATTGTATTGTCATTGTTGTGTGTGATTTATAAATACCTTGAGATGATTAGCCTAAAATATCAGGATATTGAAATCAAAATTGTTCTCTTTTAATTTTGGAGCATTTTCCTGTTGCCATGGATTTGGCTTGATTTCCCCAATTTTTGTAGCTTCAAATTATCATCATCATGGTTGTGTTGTGCTGTAACTCTATCAATATTTCACCGATGATTATGTTTAGTAAGGCTAACGTTAAACTGTACTTGCTTGCTTTCCATTTTCAAGACACATAAACGTGCTCCCCAAACAATCTATTAATTTGTAGGAATATATGCATGAACTTATTGGAATGTACATGTATATACACGTATATTTATGAAAGCTTTACAATTTCTTTATGGATGCATAAGCAGAAACATGAATGTCGCAGCACTCGCCATCCCATGAGAAGTCCATGGACATCCCTTCCATTATTTTTGGCTTCCACTTGGATGGATTGGTTTTCTGCAAATAGACATGACCAACAAGCTTCAAACATATTAGTTTCTGAAAACATGTACCACATCTCTTAGTGAGTGACAATATATGGAACGGTATGAATAATGAACAAACATACAATTTCATCCAGGGCTTCGATGATCGACATTGAGCCAAACGTAGAGCTGACGAATCTTGCGAATTTATTGGTTGCATTATCATGATTCGCGAAGTTTCTTTCCAAATACAAGGACAAGAATGTTATTAGTTTTAAGTAATGGATGAGAAAAAGAAAAAGGGACCGAATTTCTTTGAAGAAGATGAGTTACCTGAATCTGTTGTTATTGGAGGTTAATGCAATTGGAGCTGCTCCATATCTCAAAGCCTTAAGCTACATTATCAAAAAATAAAAGAAAAACATAAAAATTCACGTGACTTGAGTAAGAAGGATAGGTTCCCATGACGGTTCAGTCATAGATGAATAAGAAATCAAATTTGATTTCCGGGCTACTAGCAAAAGAAAATAACTTTTGGGCATGACTCGATACCGGTTATCAGCACAATCAAGTCAAATATAGGCCAAAAACTGGGTTTGTGACCGTCAGACATTAGAATGGCATGGGAAATAAGAAAGCATACTTTAAAATAAGCTATAAAGTATTGCAACATAAAATTTGGCTAGCAGCCCTGAAAGAGCTGCATAAGAGAATTCTGTCTTCGAGTTCAAGTATGCATATAAGAACACAAACTATGCATGTATATATCAGTGTATGTAATGAATCCTGTTTAAAACCTGCCAAAGAGTGAATGTTCCAAGAAGGTCGAAACTTGGAACCTTCAGTCATTCCAAGAAATTTCAACTTTAGTACTAAGAAAGAGGCAAATGAACTGATTAGTAGATGAGCTATTTTTGGTTTGAAAATTGTGATGAACTTAAAGGGCACTTTCCAAGGTAAAAATAAATAAAACAGTCGAGCAAAACAAATGGACAAAAACATATGGGGGAAAGAGAGAGAGCTAACAGGAACTTGGAAGAGTGGGTCGTGAAAAGATTGGCACAAGATAATGTCAGATCCCGCAAAGATTAAATGTAACAATGATTCATCATGTCCAAGAACAAATCGTACATCTTCGTCCTGCAGATACGAAGAATACCAAATATGAAATTTAGTCCATTACGAGATAAACAAGAATATTGAATAGATAAACCATAAATATTTTAGAGTGATGTCAATGCATATGCAAACAGCACAAGAGCCTGATAAGGATATCATTCTTTTTCATTCTGATTAATTTCGCATGTCTGAAATGAAATTTGTATGAAAAATGAAGTTCTGAATGCAACTACTCATAAATTGTATCCACAAGATGGTAACAAAAACCAACACAACACACACACACACACACACACAGGGGAAAAAAAAAAAAGAAGGGACGTAGAAGCTTCTACCTTAAGCTCTTCTTGAAAAGATTCAAGCCCCCTGTTTACATGTGGCATTATGCTATTGTCCATGATGATAAACTGTAGGAAGCCACATAACTATCAGAACTCATAGGAAATAAGTTCGGAAAAAAAAAAAAAAAAAGCAAAACGTAGACGTTATGGGAATCTTATCAGGGGAAAAAAAAAAAAAGTGGTTCATTACTTGTTTCCTGGCCATCAAAGCACAAGGACCAATATTTTCTAGATTAACATAGGACTACCCTTACTGCTTCTGCCAGTAAGGTGTTTAAGTGAGTTTTTTATCCTCATAATAAGCTGGGTTTAAGGAATCCTGAGCCGCTAAACCATGCGTTTCCTGCTGGGGAAATGGAAGGGATACGGAGTACAGATATGATATAAGTAGCAACCTGGACGCCACTCCCAATGGCACTCCAAACAATAGCTTTCAGGTTTTCCAGATCAACATCTGAAACTTCGGCAAAGACGCATCCGACCTGTTAAACATCATCTCATAACTTCAATAAAGGCTACATAGAAATAGGAAACAATGCTTAAAAAATTCAGTAAAATGAAAAGCATGAATAATCAAAACGTAGCATTGGATGAGAAAGAAAATGTATATATCATAAAGTGACTCATATTTTTTAGGTCATAGAAAGGAAGGGGGAAAAAGAAAAGGACATCACAGTGCTGCAAATCAGGCATGACCATTATGTTATGGAAGGTAAACACATAACTGGTTCTCTCCACTGTGCTTGTTTCTCACGTTATGAATCCAAGAAAAGAGATTCACCTCTGTTATCAATTTAAATACTGTCGGAATTTTCTTTCACCAGAAATTTCCTTTTTCCATCTCATGGAAATTTAGACTACCAGGTTACAGAACTCATATGCCATGACAAAGGAAGCACTAAATTTCATAAATAAACCGGTTAAAAGGACTTACGACAATATTTGAACTGTTCTCAGAAAACCCCACGTATTGCTGTAAAGCAACTTTGCAAGTGGTTTTCCCATCCATGTCATCGACACTGTAGTTCTCCAGAAGAGAGTCGTCCTTCGAAGGATCCCAGGTAGAGCTGTCAAATCCAAAAGGAGAAACAACTAATTTGTCCCTGCAACAGATGATAAAAGCAAGTGAAAATGACTTCAGTACTCGTGTTTCCAGAATACCCAGCAAGAACATTATTGACACCCAAAGACAGAAAGGCAAGTCTAATTTATGTTGAGGATATGTTGTATTGAGAAATGTTTGGTCCAATGAAAAGAATAGGAATATATTCAAATAATGTTGTATTGGGATTGGCATTCAGGTGTTACTTACTTGTGAATGTTCAAGGTAGATTCCAGACCGTTACTGAGACTATGAATAACCTTGGATTTTGAATGTATGGATGACATTATTACAACTTTATTGGAATAAACTACTCCACCCTGCAAAGTTATAGAAAAACTTTTCAAGGAATCGTGAATAGCCAAAGAAGCCGGAACTTCTAACAAAGGATTTTTTCCAGTGCGGGGAACAAGCTCAGTGGGTTGCAGAGTTATATGAAAAATAATATATTAATAAAACTTTTGAATTGGGTCTTCCCTCACAAACCTGCTTATCGTGCAACATCATAATCATACCATGCAGTTTATATCTAATTATTAGGTGAAACGAGTCTAATTGTAATTGTGTGAAATGCAAGATTAATGTAGCCAAACATCAAAGATTCTGTGAATCTAAAGTAAACAAACAACAATTTGAATTTCCAAAGGTATACAAAATAACTCCCTGCCATACAGACAATTACTTCTTGAATACTGTTGCAGTGAAATTATTCTCTTTAACTTAGGATGGGAATACAAATGTAATTCTGGGGGTTTCTATCATATCAAAAAGAGCAACAAAGACAACCAATGTAAACTTGCTGGAGTTTTGATAGAATTCGAAGTCAAGTAAATGAGTTTTAAATTGTAAAGAAAGAAGAAGTATGCATGAGAGAGAGATCAATATAGGCTAGAGTATCCACCTTCAAAATGTTGACAAGATGATTCTTATTGTTATCTTGCAAACGATCAGGACGGTGAAGGCTACGAGGATCAAGACCACACAGTTCCAGTTTATCCAGTTGCTCAAGACACTAAGGACCAAAAGTTGGGCCACGTAAAACAATGTAAATTGCACGTTTTGGGGATATGTAAATTCAGAACGGAAAAGTTTTGACACCTGCCTGCTGTTTGAAGTTGTGGCATGTCAACAATATCCTTGTACCTTCAAGTCCCTATACGTGAGGTAGAGTAATTTGATAGCGAAAAATATTAGCAGACACAACCTTTCTTCTGAAGGATTCATGCATTACTATCAGTGTCACGTGGCATGGCCTTAAAATGATATCTATGGAAGCATAAAAGGTAGGATACTGTAAATCAAGTAAATTACCCCATTTTAAGGAAAGCATATTAGCTCCATGGAGAGTTGCAACAACAATTGCCGAAAAAGAAAAATTTTGGTTTGGTTGGTCCATTTTCAGTTCACAAAATTTTTTATATCCTACTTCTTTCATATATATTCAACAAACTCAAACTCACAGTTATATATTGATAATATTACCATGTTATTACAGGCATGGCCATGCACATCTGGATACACATACACATTCTGGCTGTATAACCAACCACTACTGCCGTGTAATTTAACATCTTCATGGATCCATCTTTCCGACTGCAGGTTTCCTCATTTTTTCTGGCCAAGGAACATTTTCCACGGTTTACAGTGCAAAAAAGTAGACTTATAAAAGTCTGTGTCTAAGTTGAGGATCCCTCAAAGTTCATCCCAATCGCTTGTGACATTTTTTCATTACAATTCAAGTCACATTAAGGCCATATTAATGCCATACGAGCGGTCACATCCTATTCAATTGATTTGGCAAGTAAAAATAAACACAGGATATGTTTAGTGTAACACAAATACTGCATGCTAAATGAAGATATTCTACGTGAATAATATGGTTAGTTTCACCTGCTTGGCAAAAATATCCCAAAAAAGTGGCCCAACAATAGCAGTCTCCCAATTGTGGATGTGTAAAACATCAGGCTGCTTTCCGGACTTTACTATATAATCCAATGAAGCACGAGAAAAATAGGAAAACCTGAAAGAACCAAAAAAAAAAAGGGAGAGAGAACATTGTATTATTAATAAAACAAGGTAAAATAGCACGGTTACTAAAGGCCAAAGAATAAAATGAAAGGGTACCCATGAAAATGCTCTTGTGGGAAAGATTATATGATGATGAAGTAAAGTGGCAGCTAAATAAGTTAAGAAAGCAACTTTCAATTACTAACCTTTCAAAGTCATCTGGGTAGCCATAAACCCTCTCACGATTGAAAAAGGATGAGTAGTACTTTGGTTCAATTAAAGTAACACCAATGCCATAGACAACACTGTAAATAGGAGTATAAAGAATACTTAGATTGTAATCAAACCACGGTTTCTACTAACCAAACAATAATTTTGTCATAAGTATAGAGCTGAACATACCCAGTCCAAATGCTGTTTTCATGTAATTGACCGTTAAAGTAAGAATAAGAATCTGCATCAATTTCATGCAATCCTTGCACTTCATCTAGGTCCAGGCTCACATACCTGTTTACAAGGTAAATTCTTTTAGGCAAAACAAGCGTAGGGGTTGCTTGAGCAACTCAACTAGACCAACTCGTGCACTCCAAATATAGAATTTTTTCATCAGCATGTTGTAAAGCTATCTAATCATCTTATAGGTCTAATGATGATCTCTTAAAAATGATAGTCTCTTATACACATCATGTTACGACAATTTGCTCAAGCACATTAAAAAAATTATTTTGGCGGACTGCTTGCAAATTAAGTCTGCTGAAAATGAATCTAGAATAACAGTGTAGGTCCCTTGATTACTTTGGTAATATAACCTCCACCAAATGTCCTTTTCTCTGTAATGCACGAGACAAGCCCATTATGTAAGATGCCAATGATCCAACGGAGACCAATGGTGCCATTTCAGTACATATGTGGACAATGTGAAGTGCATTCCTGGATAAAACAATAGGCAACTTTATTGTCAGAACATAGAAAGCGGAAGGGAACAAACAGAAGGGAAGAGGGAGCAAACAGAAGGGAGGAGGAAGCAAACAAAGAAAGGAAAGGCAACACAAAAAAACATAAACTAAATAATTACATACGCAGGAAAAAAATTCACAATTTAAAAGGAGAAATATGACTAAGAAACTTCAAAATCACATCCATGAATGTTACTTCATACACAGGAGAGTGTTTGAGACTTAGTGAAGTGTGTAAAAGCTGTTCTAAAGATACTCCCACTGATCGTTTTTTCTATGTTGCAGTACCAAGGCAGCATAAACGACAATTACTTATTAAAGATGACTGAATCCATAAAGCGTCAGAGAAACATGCTTATTGCATGTTTGTGAATGCATGCATAGAAGCTCCAACTTAGTCCGGAGGCAAAAGTCCTACACAGAGAATTAAGTGTGTCTTACGTGATACTCTACTATACTTCAGTATATGGTCCACACATATTTTCAAGGGATAAAGCTGAAAATTAGTAACAGAAAGGACAAAAAGACATTCAAATATCTAAAAGATGACAATACTTTTTGCTTCTGTCAGAGAAATGCTGAAGTTCTGCTAGAAACTCAACGTCGTTCTTTTGCTCCGTGTCAATGAAAACCTCATCGACACTAACTCTATGATCCATGATCAGCCTCCTCAAATCAGATGCCTCCCTGGTGGTAATGACGCCAGTCAGAGCCATAGAGTCAATCCGTAGCAGCAATTCCCAACATAATGATAGTTTATCTGGCATTGATCAGGAATTAGAAAGCACTGGTTCAATTTTAAGTCTTCGAAAAGAAAATGAACACAAAGAATATTTGTCTTTGGGTGATAAACTAAACTAAGTGCAAGTACGAAGGACCATATAGCTTAGTGGTTCCTTATTCTTAATAAGTCTACCACAACATTTAAATTTGCAATTGCTTTTAGTTAGAGTATTCATAAAGAATGACAGGTTGAAATATAAAAGGTGCCTACAAAATAATGTACATTCTGTAACTAGTCATGATAGATTACTTTGCCTTGGACATCACGAGATCAAGATTCCACAATAAGCACTGCTAGGGACACCAACTCTAGTCTCAACTTACGTGGGGTGAGTCCTAATCTTTTCACCAATAGATAACTAATATCTTATTATTAATTGATGTGACAGTTTTTTAAGCACCTACCAATAAAAGAACGACAACCAGCATGCCATGTAAGTTGGTATGAAAAAAAATGGGATTAAAATTTGTCCCTGGCATTATTCTTCAAAGAGTACCTTTTCCAAAAAAAGCTTGCTTTCCCAACTCTAACTCTTCTATCTTATCAAGCAGCAACTTATTCTCTTCGTTTATCCTGTTCAGCTCCTCCACGGCCTTTAGGCGTTGTTTGTTCAAGTATAAAATATCTGTAGTGATAAAAACAGTATAAAGTAATGTATCATAAATAATACAAAGAAAACATGATGATAAACAAGTTAGTTTTTTTAAAAATAAAAATAAAAAAATCCCAGTTGTAATTTCAGGAGGACTTACTCTGCTGAGCTTCTTTGAAGAGTCGCCAAATCTCATTGTGCTTTGTTTCCTCTCCATTCGACGACTTGCATCATTTCAAACACAAATTCGACATAAATTAAAAATAAATAAAAATAAAAATAAAAACGGAGAAGAAGAAGAAGAAGACGCTTAGCATAAACATAAAAAAGCTATTTATAGATAGCAACCATTATAATACCTGAGAAATGTCTGCATTTCCGTGACCTTCCAACCTAAGAGGCATAAAGATCAAACTTGTTGATAAGGAAATTAAGACAAGGAAAAAACATCAAAAAAAAAAAAAAAATTGACCCAAAAAAAATGAGGAAAAAGATCAAATTATTTACTCCATTTGGGAGGAGAGTATAAATAAATGAGTCATTAATCCTAAGCAAAATTCCACGAATTTTGAGTACCTGTGTACATGCGTATACTCATATATACAAGTATACGAAGACGTGTATATATACACACACACACACAGAAGTGGAGTATCTAAATTATGCCTCTTATCATTATCCTAACATAGCAAAAGGCGAAGCGAAAGCCAAAAAGTAGCGCAAAAAGAACAGCAAATTACACACGGTGGACCAAACAAATTCAAAGCTCTTTTCCGCAAAAAGCAATGAAAAAGAACCATTTTAAAAAAGCATTTATTTAAGGAAAACAACAAAGAAGATTGAACATTCGAATGGCAAAAGAAGGAAGTGAAATGAAACTCTGCGAATCACCTCAAACAGGAAGAAGCAAATCGAGGTTTGACGGAAACAAGAGGCTGAGGCAAACGGGGAGACCGTTGGATCGTCGCAGTGCTTATCAACGCCTTCATTTTCACTCCCCTCAATTCCATTTCTATTCTCCAGTCTATATATATACACACACACACACGCGCGCATTACTAATTAAATAAATTTAAATAAATAAAAAATTCACGGGACCCCAGACTTGCTTTTTTTTTTTTACTTTTTACAAAAAAAAAAAAAAAAAAACCGCACGACCCCCCGCGAAAAGGAAAAAATTAATTGTCTAATTAATTTTTGAAAAAGAGGTTATAATTCATTTTTTATACGGTTGGAGTCCGTTACTGGACGTTATCTAGCTCTGCGGCTCTGCCTCTGCCATAAACGATCCTCAGCCATTCGATCCAAGAATTTTTTTCTTTTTTTTTTTTTTCTTTTTAAAAAAAAAAAAAATTCACGGGACCCCAGACTTGTTTTTTTTTTTTTACTTTTTACAAAAAAAAAAAAAAAAAGGGGGGGGCCCGCATTTTTTTTTTTTTTTTCTTTTTAAAAAAAAAAAAAAAAAAAAAGCTCACGAATCCCCGCGTAACGGAAACAATTAATTGTCTAATTAATTTTTGAAAAAGAGGTTATAATTCATTTTTTATACGGTTGGAGTCCGTTACTGGACGTTATCTAGCTCTGCGGCTCTGCCTCTGCCATAAACGATCCTCAGCCATTCGATCCAAGAATTTTTTTCTTTTTTTTTTTTTTCCTTTGGTTGATAAGTAATCAGTTACACTCTGTTTGGTAAGAATGAAAGAAAATAGGAGGGAAAGGAAAACTATAATGCATAAAAAATTAAAAAGATTAAAAAATTTTTGATTTTTCCTGTTTAGTATGATAGAGAAGAAAGAAAATGAATTTACCTTATCTTATTTAGTATTAAAAGTGAAATTAAAAGGATGAAAAAATTATTATTAGTGTAATTACTTTTTTGCCTAAATAAGGACAATTCAATAATTTAACTTTATTTTTGTAATTATTCATATTTTCCTTCTAAAAATCCACCAACTTTTAGAGGGATTAAATATAGTGAGATCCACCAATAAAAATTTTCATTTAATTTTCTTTTCCTTCACAATTTCCTTTCTACCATACAATCTGACTTCCTAATTTTCATCCTAAAATTTCACTTTTCATTCATACCAAACCCACCATTAAGGTAAACACGAATTATATGATGACTTCAAATATTTGTTATCCAAAATCCAAATAACAATTTTTTTTTTTTTTTCATTTTCTTCTTTTAGAAGTGCTGTCATTAATCAAGAAAAAGCTTTTTTCCCCTTAAAAGAGCTTTTTTTTTTTTTTGGAATTGTTGTCCTCTATTTCTTTTATCCGAATTGGCGCTACCCATTTGAATTCACTTCCTTGGCAACAAAAAAGAATGGACATAGTCAGCAACTCAAGAACAGGAATCATCTTTTTTTTTCCCTCATTCACTTATGTTATTTTTATACCATTGACTAAAACTAAGAGATAACTAACATCAACAATTCACCTGCATTTTGGCAAGAGGGATAAAAAAAATTTCCAACTACAACAAATCAAGTGGTGAACAATGTAAAAGTAGAAACACTAAGGGGGCCATTTAAAATAACAAGGGAAAACAAATGGATGATGCCCAAAAAAAATCTTAGACATTTTCCTAAAAGACCGTCAGTCGTTGCGACTACTACTGCCCAAGCTTACGCTTTAGCTTTTTCGACTTGGCCAACCTTTCCAATCTTTCTTCTTTTTCTATCAACCGAAGTTGTTCCTCATCCTCCTTTTTCGCGATTTTCGCACTGCACATTGGGACGATAAAAGCCAAATCATAAACACGAATATAACTTAAATTCCAAGGATAAAATATGTGCTACATAGAGTGGAAACAATCATGTTGTAGAACACTTTCTCACCTTCTTTGCTCCTCTCTCATAATATCATCGAAGTTAGCCTCCATGCTATCAAGATCGTCATCGCGGTCAACGAATTTATTGGGATTATACCTGAAAAAGATTTTCTAGATTTAGTCATCAAGCTTTACAATACTTTGATTCAAAATTCAACAACAAGAAGCATTGGAAGGTGCAAGTAAACTTACAACTCTTACATCATGCGCCAAAAAAAAAGGGAAACATATTGATAAAATTGTTCAATAATAATAATAATAATAATAATTAAAACTCTCATTAGCTCACAGTCAAAGGACTATTGTATTCATATTAGAACCAGAAAGAGAAAAGGAAGTTTCGGTATAAAGTTAGCATCCCTACCAAAAGAGTAGAGGAATTTATCGTGCTGAAGATTAAATCTGTTAGCAAATGAAACTTTGAAAGACGAGAGGAATTACCTGAACATTTGTCTGATCATACTAATGGCTTGTTGACCTTCGTCATCATCTTCGTCATCAGAGTAACGCCTCACTGGCTTTTTCTTGGGGCGGTTGTCGTGAGATGTAGGGTGTGATGAAATTGGTCTTTGAGGCTTGTTTATCTGCTAATGTCACGAAACACAATGGACGTCGTTAACCTTTCAATAAACATCAAAGTAGCTTTATGAAAATTTGACCATGCAAACAGGTTATAAAACGTAAGTAAAGGCAACCTGAGGTCTTGACAATCCTGCTGGCTGTTTAGGCAACACTTTAGCCTTAGTAGACCCTTGTAGTTCCCTTCTCTGTTCTAGCTGCTGCTTTGATATTGAGGGCTGCTGCTTTGATATAGAGGGCTGCTGCTTTGAAGAAGGCGGCTTCTGCATACTGGGTCTCGGCATACTGGGGGCAGAACTCTTTGCAGCAGGTGTGGCAACCTTCTTCTCCATAGAAGTAGGAGTCTTTGAAGGCATGCCTTTTGGTGCCAAAGGCCGACCAGGCCCAGTTCCATTGTTGCTACTATGCTGTTTTCTAGAATCCGTTTGTGACGAATTGGGCCTACTTGCTGAAGGTAATTTATTAGAGCCTACTTTAGAAGATGGGTGTCCATTCATGGGAACAGATTTCCTTTCTCCATGATTTCCATGAACTTGTCTACCATTATTTCCCAATGCTTGTTTGCTTTTAACCGGTACTTGAGCAAGTCTCGTATCTTCAACATCAGCAAAAAACCTGTATAAGTTTCCTCAATGAAAATAGAATGTACACATGCTGAAAGATAGATAAGATGTAGTAAATCATCAACTTACCAGCACTTTGAAGAGGGACATTGCGCTGTGGGGGTTCTTTCGCTGGAGCAGGAAGCTGTGCATCTTCGGACAACAAAAAGGAGTAATCTCTCGTATCCTTAAGTTTTTGGACTTTAGATTTAACCTGCATGTGCCAAAAACCCATCAAACTCACCAAATCACAGAGGCGTGTAACTTAAATTCCAAATGAAGAACAGTATGCTCCAACTACCTCATTCAAGACTCTGGCTTTTTTGTCATGTACTCCAGGTTTTGATCCTGCAGTGGATGAACTAGAGCTCCTTTTTTTCTGAGAAGGAAAATCAGACTGTCGAGATAAAATCTATAAACTAAGATACAAAAAGAACCTTCAACTTCACTGTAAATGAAAATGAATGAGCAAGACTTTAGTTCTAAAGGGTGGGTTTCATTATATATTTGCTTCCGAAAATCATATTTTGTCAGCCTTGGAGGAACATTCCTGGTTTGAACTTTGAAGCTGTTACTGTGAATGTCCGTTATGTCCTACTTTTAACCAATAATTATGCCTATTATCCTTTTACCAATTTTCAAAATCATATTTTGTCCTCGAATCCCTAACTTTTTTATATCTCAATAATAAAAATCTACTTCAGTTTTAAAAGTCCTAAGATACGAAGCAAGAATCAAGTATATTAAACAGATAAATAATGATACATACTGGATGGGCAGAATTCGAAACTTTGGATGTCAGATGTTGGGTCTCTAACAAAGACTTCGTTTCTTGAATTACTCTTTGAGAGATAATTGGTTGAGATGGGCCAAAAAATGATCCAAAACTGAAAAAAGCAAAGTATACTTTTAGATTATATTATGCATCTCAGCAAGATAACAACCACATAATCATGACACTACATAAACTTTACATAAGCATCAGCCCTTAATAGTCTACATCATTGAAGAATAAATTAGAAAAAATCACAAAAGTGTGGCTAAAATTGAGTCAGATGTGAGTTATGAAACTTCCAGGAAAATACAGAACTTATAGTAAGAGTAGCCAAAAGCGCACTTGGCTTGAGTTTGACACAAAACTGCAAAGCCCCATCAAAACCCTACAATCTTTGAGAAACATGAAAACTCATCGTTATTCACCGGGTAGGTGCCCTAAGGACTTGAAACTCAGACTATATGGCACCAAACCACGTGCCTGATTGTTCAGCCAATGAGAACACTAGAAAACGCTCTCAGAAAAAGATATATGCCCTGAACCGGTAACCCTTGAAACTATTAATTCTTTCCCTCGAAATTGAAACATAGATCAAAGTTGACGAGTTCATAAAAAAGACTAGCCATGACATAAGTTATTTTTTATGAACCAGAAAGGGGCCTCAAGCCATCAACACAAGGTGTTGTCCACTCACTTATCATTTGGAAGTTTTCTTTTTCTATCACTAGAATTGTTGGGAGTAGAACCGCCATCATTCTTAAGCTTCTTTCTGAATCGTTCTTTCAAACGTTGCCTCAGCTCAAGGTACTCCAACTCTTCCTTGGTGGGTTGTGGAGCTTCTTCTTCTTCTTCTTCTTCTTCTTCCTCTTGTCCATACCCGTCATCCTCATAATCAGCGTACTCATCTTCCATTGCTGGATGCAGTTCCTGCAAAAACACACCGAGAAAATAAAATAGAATTAGGAAAAAGAATTCATGGAGTAAGAAAGCAAGGCCCCGTTCTTTTCACAGTTCTAATTACAATTCAATGCTTGTACTATAGTGTTTTCTCTAACAAAATTTGAATTTTAGTTCGAGTTTTCCCCTTGAACCCGCAAAACAAAAAAAAACAAAAAACAAAAAAACAAAAACAGGGCCTGAGTAACCAAGATATAGATTCCAAGAGTGCTAAGCACTAACATCTTCCTCGTATCCCCGCATTGCTTTTCCAATCAACACTTGCTTTTGCTCATACCTGTAAGGAAAAAAAAAAGGTAAAAATCAAAAATTAAGGAACCCCAGTTGGTTCTGACCAAAATCGTGGAATCCAGAGCCCTAATTTCCCTAAAAAAAAAAAAAAAAAAAAAAAACTAGATTTCACGATTGCATCAAATTACACTTCATATGCAAAAAAGAGCACCCGAAGCAATCAGAACCGATTGAATACAATGAACATAATACTAAATTGAATTAAATACCGGGAAATATGCCACACAAAAAAAGACGAAATTTTGCTCAAAAGTGTTGGATTTCACAGCACGTTCGAGCTAAGACGAAGCGAATCTCCAATTTACAACTGCCTTAACTGATAAATGAAACAAAACCCCCCACAAAAAATCAGCAATCCTATCCAATTCTGATCAAAATCATCGAATAAAAAACCCTAAATCCCCATCCTCACCAAAATCAATAAAAAAGCCCCAAACTTGATTGCACTAAACCGATCAAGTGGAGTAAAAACACAGCATATACAGAAAACTACATCCAAACCCATCAGAGTCGATCGGGACAACGAAAATAGCGTTCAATTGAACAAAAACAACAAAAAATATGCCAAAAAAACGACGAAACTTACAGAAGAGAGCGAATTCAGAGGACGATCGTGGAGAGACGAAGCGAATCTCGAAGAGACAAAGATGAAGCAATCTGAGATCTGCGTGAATCGAAAGATGGCGAAAGAGGAGTTGTGGACAAGGAGATAACGGAGATATAGAAGAAGGGAAACCGAAGGACCCAGAAATAAAGGCGATCGATGCTATTGTGCGCGGGTGTAGTGCGCACCCCCAATTTTCCTTTATTATTATATTCTTTATTTTCACTTTTTTACTTTTCCTTTTGCTGTTTGGCGCTTTAAAACAGTTTGACCCAGACTTCAGTTCGACCCTTCTGATTAGAACTGGAATGTAGAGTGGGATGTTTATTTTAGCCCCGTTCACTTTACTAATTTGAGTTTAGAATTTGAGTTTTACTACAGTAAAAAATTCTCAGAAACAGTCATATTTAACTTTTTTATTACAGTAAAAAGTTCTCACATAAAATCACATCTCAACTCGAATCAACGAAGTGAACGGGCCTTGTGTATTCATTTTTTATTTTAAATTATGATTTATAATTTTTTATAGTATTTTTTTTCTTAAAAAATACACATAAAATGAAAATAATTTTGAATCATAATTTTGAATTCATAAATTAAACATTCAGAGAGTAAAATGTGAAGAAAATGATAATAGAGTGGCCTATTAATACTTAATAGATATGTAAATTGTAAAACTACTATGAGTCGAATCCTAAAGCAAATATAGGTCTCGTTCATTTCACCAATTCGAGTTTAGAATTCAAGTTTTGCTACAGTAAAAAATTCTCAGAAACAGTCACATTTAACTTTTTTTTTACAATAAAAAAACTCTCACATAAAGTCACATCTCAATTTGAATTAAAAACTCGAATCAGCGAACTAAACGGACTTATAATTCTTTCTTAAAAAAAAAAGCAAATATAATTCTTTCTTCAAAAAAAAAAAGCAAATATAATTCTTTCTTCAAAAAAAAAAAGCAAATATAATTCTTAATAAAATAACCAAATTCAAATAAAATTTAACATATGAAACATTAAATAAAATAATTTATATTCTAAAATTATTCTAACTCCTAAAAGAATTCTATTTAGGATCTCCATCATTCTCTGTGATTTAAAAAAATCGACTCATACGAGTAATGATATGATATGATATGATTCTCTAAAAAGATTTAGATCGAGTTGTCGAAACTGTTCGTCAGTAATTTAAATATCAACAATGAAAAGAGTCTTTTTGACGAATTAAAAATCTTCAATATTTGCTAGTGATGAAAGTAATAGACTCATCCTCCACAACATTAACAATCACATCAGGAAATCTCAAAGTTACAACAAAAAGCTTGTGGAAATGGAATAAAAGATATTCCTCCAAAAATAGAAGGAAAGCTCGAATGTACCTTAGTTATAGGTCGTATCGTGCCAATATGATCTATTTTAATTAGACACAATCACGATATCGTGTCGTGCTTGACATAACTCACTATTTATTCATGTCATGTCATGTCAATCTGTAAATTTCAACTTAAACCTACATATCACATTGACCTATCACTTTATAAGTCAATTGTTTTGCCCACGTGTTTAACGGTGCTTACCCATAATAATGTTAGTTTTTATCATTTTACATTTGTTTTCTTAAATTTGAAGGGACTATTTTGATTTTTTTTTTTTAGAAATGATTTAAATACACATAACAGAAATAGTATAAAAATTAATTATAAGATCATTTATTTTTAAAATATATTTGATTGTATTTTCAAATTGATTTTTTTTATAGCAACTAGTAAGTAAGAAAGTCCAATGTATAAGCAACACAATTTTCACACATTTATATCATACTTTTTTTTTTTTTTTTGTAAATTGAAGAAAAAATGAAATAAAAAAGTATAATTTAGTGTTAAAAATGACACACTTCTACAATGCAATGTTATAATTGATGTCTTAATTATAAATTTAACATTTGAGTGCAAAAAATATTCTCTAATGCAATGCTATTTATTGTGCTAAATTTCTCATATGCTATACTTTGGGGTAAATTTTTCACCAAGTATAGCATGTGGAAAATTTAACATTTGATTGCTATTCGTTGAAATGTTTATTTTTTTATGTAAGCATTGCAACTTTTGCATTTTCTAATTATTTTAAAATAAAAGTTCACTTTTACAACTTTCAAAGCTTAATAATTATGGAAAAAAATAGATTTAACATTTCAAATAGCATTATGCATTAGAACAAAAATGAAAATAACATACATATCACACTTTTTAATACTATATATACAATTGGCATTAACATTTACACTTTTAGCATTTCAATTGGCATTAACACTTTTTAATTATTGCAACTTTTACATTTTTTAATTATTTTTAAAATAAAAGTTCACTTTTACAATTTCAATGCTTAATAATTATGAAAAAAGTAGATTTAACATTTCAAATAGCATTATGTATTAAAATAAAAATAACATAAATATCACAATTTTTAATACTAAATATACAATTAATATTAATATTTGTATTAGAGAAGGTCTCGACGTGTTGTACCGTGTCATGTTGTGCTTAGCCTAACATGCTCAATATTTATGCTATGTTTGGTATGATGAAAAAGATGAATGAAGGAAGTGGGTGGAGAGATTGTTGAATAGAAAATGATAAAGCGGATTGTTTGTTAGGAAGGAAGACAGAAGGGAAATGAAAATATGGTGGATAAATATTGTTCTAAGGCCTACTTAAATCCACACATTGATGACTAAAATAACTTTTTTACCCCTATTTCAAAGCCAAATTTATATAAAATAATTAAGAAAATAGTCATGTAACCTCCTATTATATATTTTCTTTCATCTCATCATATCAAACAACATAAAGAAAAATCAATTGTTTCCTTTCTTTCACATTTTCTTTCTTTTATGTGTTTTATTTTCATTTTATTTTCTTTTTCTCTTACCAAACGGAGTGTTAAGCCCAATACAACACATGTGATTGGTCATGCCACGAATTAACATACCATGTCATGCCAGACTGTGTCATACTCTTGTGCTAAGGAGAGTCGACTGAACCCATTTTACAGCTCTAATCTCTGTAAGGAAATAAATTTGACACATAAAAACCTGGATTAATATGCATTTCATCCAAGGTTACAAAGGACAGAGAAAGGACTGATGGTTCGAGCATGTCGTTTTTGCATTTTTCGGATGGTATTTAGGACACGTACGAAACATAACATAAAACAATTTTTAAGTAACAGTACTTAAAACAATTTTTGGCCTAGTTTCAACATGCAAATTATGGATATGTTGTGTAGTTACCGTCGTTTTTGGTGTCGTGTATGGCAATATGCTATTGTTGTTTCTTATTTTAAGTCATTCTTAAGAATAACGTCGTTTGCATGTCAGTGTGATTGGTTCATATTATTGTCATCATGACTATTTAATGTTTCTAGTTTATGTTTTGCTATTATTGTCTCTTGTTGTAGTGCAGTTTTTGAGTAAACACCAACTCTAATCCTAAATTTTATATCAATTTTGAGTTATCATTGAAAAAATAGATGGATGACCCCTTTTAGCATACCTTTTAAATTTATGTTTGAATTGTTCTTCTTCAGTTAAATGGCGCCATTCTTTTGCTGGGTTTTTACATTGATCAAATCACTAATGTATTGCTTAATTATCACTTCCTGATACTGGTTTATCACCAAATCAATCAAAGATAAACCACGTTTTTTCCTCTCTTTTTTTAAAATTTATTTTTTAGTGATAAACCAAGTTAACAATAAATCACAAACAAAGAGTCACTACCACAGTCTATCCCTTCTGGTGATAATTCTCTGAAGTACTGCAGATAACAATGTTTCACAAGTCATATGTTAGCTTGTGTTTTATATTAAAAACGGAGAAAGCCAAAAAAGCCTTGGTCAATGTTGGATAGTTCAACTGATATTTCACCGTTTATGAACCAGTAGTACAAGAGACGACCCATTCTTGATCTAAAATTTTAACCAACAAATCAAATTACATCAACCATTTTACATATCAATAGACCCACTTCTTTTTTTTTTTCTTGGTTGGGTGTTGGGAATAAACCACAGTTTGATTATACATAATAACTCAGAACAAACTCTTTTATTTTCACTCCCTTGAACCCAAAACTACCACAAATTCTAGTGCCATATAGGAAGTCTCTTCTCTTGTTTCTTCTTCTTTTTCAACCCATGGTTTAAAAATTAGGTCCAGCAGCAAGGATCTCTTCAGTGAGCTTGTTGTCCTTGCCAATCTTGTAGTTTGTGAATGTCTCAAAGTTCCTCTTGAACAGCCCACCAAGCTTCAGCAGTGTCTCCTTGTAAGCCTTCTTATCAGACCACTGAAAAAGAAATACACAAAGTCCAATCAAGTCAAGAGAGTTATATGAACTTAAAAGATGAGCAAAAAAGAAGGGAAAATGGCCAACTTACAGTGTTAACTGGGTCCAGGATTTCTGAAGGCACTCCTTCAACCTCAGTGGGGATCTCAACTCCAAACACCTCAGTTTTCTTGTAATTCGCCTTCAGGAGGCTTCCGGAGTGTATGGCATCGATGATTTTCCGAGTGTAAGGAAGCTTGATGCGATTCCCCGAACCATAGCTGCAGGGTTAGACAGAGAGGAGATAGTGTTTAGTACAGTTTTTGCAGCTTAAATAAATTGAGAACAATGACACATACAACAAAAGAAATGTTCTACCGTTCATGACATGTCATGAGACCTTTTTTTTCTCTCTCTCATGATGACACATCATTTTCCATAAATTACTAGATACTAATTCTAATCAATGATTTTACTGATATAATTTTACAATGTTATACCTTCCGCCGGACCAGCCAGTGTTGACAAGCCATCCTGTGGCACCATGTTTCTGCATCTTCTCAGCCAGCATGGCTGCATACTTGGTGGGATGCAGCATAATAAATGCAGCACCGAAGCAGGCGGAGAACGTCGCCTGTGGCTCCTTGACACCCTCTTCAGTCCCAGCGACCTGGGTTCATTATGACAAATGGTTTAGCCAACTTAAAAAGTAATTTTTCGCTTAAAAAAAATACCCTTTTTTGTGAAATTGTTGAGAAGTTTACCAAAGCCGTGTAGCCACTGATGAAATGGTACATGGTCTGTGCTAGGCTCAGCTTGCTAACTGGTGGAAGCACACCAAATGCATCACAGGCCAAAAGGATTACATTCTTTGGGTGTGGACCAACACATGGTATCTTTGCATTGGGAATGTACTCTATAGGATAGGCTGCTCTAGTATTCTCTGCAAACAGAAAACTAACTATTAGAAACACTCCTGACTGGTTTAGTTGAAAAATTATATGCAGCTTTTTATGGTAGGATTAGGAGTGAACATTAAATTGATCAAAATCATGGCAAAATCTAGCGGTTAAAAACAGAGCACTACCAGTACCATATTTCATATCCTAGTTAATATAAGTACAATTTTCTTTTGAATTTTTCATCCCTGCGTCGAACAACTAAAAATCTAAACAAGGGGAATTATCATGTGTTCGTTATACCTTATCCTCAATTAAAGACCTATTAACCCTATGAAGATAGATACTTGGAAAAGCTAATTAAGCCGACCTAAGCTTAGCTTACCGGATTAAACAAGTGGATAAACTGTCAATAATTAAGGTCAAAATGACCCAAACTAGTGCATAAATAATTAAAATTTAGTTGAGGTCAATCGTGTTTTTGCATTTAAAAAAGGGAACAAAATGAGGTCAACACTTTCTTGGCATCATTTAGTTACACGTGCTACCATTCAAGGTCAAATCTAATCTTAATCAAGCTATAACTAATGATCCAAGTACATGATTTAACAGATTAATATGACTTTAAGTGATAACGAATATGAAACCTTTTGAAATTTCATTTGAAAATCATGTTTATAATTAATAAATCCAAGTAAAATTTTCCATCAGTAAGGCCAACTCATTACTTATCTTTTTCTTTGTCGATTTTCAGTGAGAATAATTCAAAAATACTAATAGATATTGCATTAAAAGCCAAAAGAGCAACAAACTACCTGTGACAGATTTGTCAGAAAAATCCAACTCCCTAGTATGCTCATCAAACACCACATTCTCCAAAACTGCAAGAGCACAAAAAACATCAATTTCACATCATTCATAAACTGAATCGGTCAAGACACAAATTTAGAACTACTTTTACCAGTTCCAAATTTGATGGCATTCCAAATATCAGGCTCCTTCTCCCTCGAAAGATCAATGCACTTCGCGTAGCAACCGCCTTCAATATTCGACACGCCATTCTCACTCCAACAGTGCTCATCGTCTCCAATCAAGTACCTATTGTGATCAGTAGACAGAGTTGTCTTCCCAGTACCTTTAAAAAAAAAAAAAAAAAAAGTTGCAAAACAAAAACACAGAAAAGGTACTCATTAGCACAAATTGAAATACAAGACCAGAAAAAGCACACATACATAAAAATTCACGTCACAACAACAACAACATCAAGAAGAGGAAATTCAGATAGATTAGGGGGGCAACAAGACATAGTAGCGAAGAACAACGTTTGTGTGGGACCCACCGCGATATCCTGGCCGCGGGATGATGATAATACTATACCTGAGAGTCCAAAGAAGAGGGCAACATCTCCATCTTTCCCCATATTGCAGCCAGAATGCAAGGAGAGGATTTGACGCATAGGCATGAGATAGTGCATAACACTGAAAAGACCCTTCTTCATTTCCCCGGCGTACTGAGTGCCGAGGATGACCATTTCCCGCCTAGCAAGATTAAGGTCTATGCTAGTGGAGGATGTCATGTAGTGTGTGTAACGGTTACACGGGAACTGGCCAGCATTGTATATAGTGAAGTCCGGAGTACCAAAATTCTCCAGCTCTTCAGGAGTGGGTCGGATACACCTGCCACCCACCCAGTTATCCATTTTTTGTTGCTTGTTGTTTGTACACTATTATCTTATTATAACCTTTCATATTTTTTCTTTTTTTCATTTTAGTCCTGGGGACTGATTAATTCGAAAAGATTATGTTAAAACGTTTAGGAGACTTATCTGGTTGGCTTAAGACCCTGTGAAAAAGGGGGGGCACAGATCACAAACACAGTGTTGTGAGTATGGTACTTTTTTATTATTTACTTACATGTTGTGCATGAACAGGGAATGGTAAGCCCTGGCAGATACAATCCTAACTTTGATTCTGTTCTCCGGATCCCAGTTGAGAAATTGGTCGTTCACAAATACCTGAAAAGTTTTAACAAAATTTTCAGGTAACCATCAGCTGCCATATGGAGTTTAGAATACATTTTCGGTTCATGGGTTCAAAACCCAGTTTCATGATTCTGATTTTTAAAATTTAAATTTTTTATGAGAGAAAAACACTGTAGCAGAACCAATAACCATGATCCTAAACTAGGCAGAACCCTGATCCAAAATTAGGCAGAACCCTTAAAACAAAAGTCACTTAAAACTTAAGATATAATTTATCAAAATTAAAAATTCGGGGTCGATTATGCAAACAACGAATGAGATGCAACGATGCAATTTACTCAAATTTTAAATGATTTATTGAGCTACTAGATTAATCAAAATTGAATAATGACCGAGTTATTCATTAAGCAAGAAAGGTCCTAAATAAATAGCTGGTGGCCTTCTGAACCAAGTAAACATTCATGAACCTTTAATTTCCTCCCCCCCCCCACCTAAAGTCTAAACAAAGTATGACACTTCCTAATTCCTATATGTGACCCAATTCATAATTTTCCAGGTTGACTTGCTCGCAAGTAACATTAATTAATAATAATAATAATAAAATATTAAAAAAAGAGCACCGCTTAAAACGTGGATGAGGAAAATTATATAGTAAACGACAACATTGCTTCTCCCGACGGATCAGGAGTCTCTTGGCCCCAATATAGAGAAACGACAAGAAAGATTCCATCACCATATTTCACTATCGCCAAAAGCCAAAAATGTATAAATGGTTATTAAATTCAGACAACTAATTTTTTTTTAATTGACACTTATAACAAAATATATTTTAGTAGTTAATAAGAATTTCACCACTCAAAAAAAATTTATTAATATGACCTTCGTATATTAAAATAATTATTTCTACTAATCACTGATATGATAATCAATAAATATGACTAATAATTTATAAAAGTATTAAATACTTTTTTTGTTGTGGGATAAAAAATTTGACACTTCACATAATTGTGGTGCCTAATAGAGACACTTTATTAATGGAGGGATAAAAATATATTAATAGTAAAATCTATAGACACGGAATATGACCTTGTCCAAAGAGTTCAAGTAATCCACAGCTCTTTCTCTGTTCACCAAAAATGTATGCTCGTCCATTTCAATGTTAGGTGAACCCCTGACCAAAAAGTTTAGACGTAATTAATAGAGCTCAATCTTTATCAATCATAAAAAAAATACATTAAAGAGAAAAACAAAACAAAATTAAATAAATAAATAGAGAAGTGGAGTGGTGATTAAAGAAAAGAAACTTGGGGTGCATTTGAAATTTATTCTAAAATGATTTTATTTTTTGTATGAAAATAGAAATAAAAACATTTTCAATCTTAAACATAAATCATTTTTAAAAATGTATTTAATAGTTTTATCAAGAGATTTTTTTCAGTATAAAAAAAATTCATTAATGTCTCTCTCTCTACTCGAGAGAGGAGAAAACGGAAATAAAAAATGAAAAACGACTTCATTTCTCTCTCATTTTCATTTCCGTTTTTTTATTTTTAATTATGTCAAACGCCGTTTCTCTCTTATTTTCATTTTTTTCTCGAAAAATACAAAAAAAAAAAAACAGAAACAAAAATAACTCCAAACACCGCCTTACTTTCCCCACCAAAGCTCATCCTCAGTGGTCTCATCCTTGACAACGCGTTTATCTCTTGGGGACCGACCTGTCTTGGCTCCTGAGAGTGTAGCCAATGCCCCATTTGACGTGATAAACGACCCTTGCTCATATTTTATCGCCTGCTCATATAGCTCTGCACCACATACAAACTCAATATAGTCTCATCCACTACATATATATATATATACATGTATATATATATACACTAGATAGCTTTGTGCCATATTCGTTCTACGTATGTACTATTACGTAATATTACACTTTTTACGTACTTTCTTTCATGTAACACGTGATTGACCACTATCTCTATCTCATGGAAAATCCAAGATCTTGCCGGCCATGATAAGGATACTCAAAAGAGGGTGAAAAACCAAGGAAGGTACTACTAGCGGTATTAAATACCATATCAAAGGAAAAAAGGGTTAATTGAATAAACAGGAAAAGGAAATCTAAAATATTCAAATAGAACAATGGTGGTGGGCAATTCTTGGTCTACCAACGGTGATGATAAATGATTAAAGATTTTATAGGAAAAAGAAAATAAAAAAGCTCAGATTTTCTTGGACCGCCTAATTTATATGCTTTAATGAAAATATTCATTGCCTAAAAAAATAACATTTCTTTCACGAGCTAGTGATCCATATTTATTTAGACCCTAGAAAACACGTTTTTTCTATCAAAATTAAAATGAGATATTTGCAGAATTTTTAAGATGGTGGTAAAAATATCATATTATATGGATAAATTTTTTGCTATTTATGGCAAAGAAACGATATTCTTTTGTAGTTCAAATTTATAAGCATGGAATTTGTTTAAAATCACGTTAAATAAATATATATTTTTAAAAAATAATAATACAAATATATAAAAAGCGTATGTGCTTATGGTTATTATTATTATTATTAAAGTCGTTTGATTTATTAGTTCGAAAACATAATTTAAATTTTTAAGATAATAATTTTTTCTAATAAAAATTTACATTTTATTTTTTTTATTATAGTATTTTTTTCCTCATTGTTATTTTTTTACCTGCGGGGGAGAGGTTGTAGAGAACATGAGTGAACTTCAAGGCACTGTCGCTAACGCTGATGGTGGGACACGTGAAGTAGTTATGCGACACGTGTGAAACCTTCGGTGTCTCGGACTTCCTCGCCGGATCTCCCTTCACCAGCTTCGGCCCAGTCTCTCTCGTCAGCGATGCCAAAGATGCACTGTCAAAAAAAAATTATTCACGTAGCAATATTATTTATTTAATTTTAATAAATAAAATAAAATAAATCCCGGGTAAAAATTCTTTGCGTAGAAAATATTACTAGGAAAATCACAGGGACTATGACGTGGAAAAATTACCCCACAAGTGGGTCCCCTTTTTTTCTTATGGATTCTCGGAAAAAAAAAAAAGACCGACTCAAACGGCAAATCCCCCAACCCGTATCTTAAAACGCGTCGCTTATAGGGTGTTTATTGTAAATATTCGTATCATAATTTAAACTATAATTTATCTTATTACGGTATTTTTAAAAAAAAAATACATATAAATTAAAAATAATTTTAAATAATAATTCTAAATTTATAAATCACACACAAAATTATATTAAGTGGGTCCCACTTCCCCTTTTTTTCAATTTTTTTTCTTTTTTGCTTTTTCGCGAAGGGTCCCACCGTCCCAATCAAAAACACTCCAATACTCCATCTGACCATCACTAACAGGTCCAACAAACTCAAAAACTGGGTCCCACGCCTCAGTCTTCCGCTATACCCGCCGTGTGCAAGATTTTTCCCCTTTTTTATTTTTATTTTTATTTTTTAGATTTTGAGCAAAATCATACTTTTGTTTTTTTTTTTAATTTGAGCGTCGCGTGTCCGATTAATATTTTAGTATTTAATAATTTACCTGATGGATTGGAGCTGCTGCTTCTGGCGCTCCTCGTCGGAGATGGGGGGAGCGGCGACGGGGCCCTGGGCACCCTTAATGGGCGTGGTGGGCGCCGACCGCTTCTTCTGGAGAGAGTGAAGCTCGTCGATCGTCTGCGCCTTCACCGGCGGCGCGCTGTCGTCGTGGCATATCCCGTTGTTCTTCTTCTGCGTCTGGATCTTCGACAGCCCGTTCCTCGCCGTCCCCTTCCCGAAGCTGAACTCTCCGTTCCCGTTCGCCGCCATTTCTGAATCATCATCATCACAAAAAGAGAAAACTCTAATTTAGATAATAATTAAAATAATTAAAACAAAAGGACATATTTAGTATATTTAAGGCTTTGCTCGGTAGCACTTTTTTTTAGTTTAAGTGTCCTTTTTTTTTTATATAGGCTTTGTAACAAAACTAGCTTATCCCCTCCGTCCTTCGAGTAATATTGGTTTAATATCGACTGGATGACACTAATAATCCTGTTTTGTTCGAGCAAAAATAAAAACATAAAAAAGCTCGAGCAAAGTGTGGCGAAAATTTTCGTCTTTGAAATCTTATAATATATATGTTATATATTTGGTCATTGTAATTTTGGTTTGGGGTCAAAAGGACGACGCAAATTATAGCCACGGATTTCATCAAAGTGAGAAAATATTAAAGCATAGTACTATAATGACGAGAGAGAGAGAGAGAGAGAGAGAGAGAGAGAGAGGAGACCTGTGTTTGGGAGGTGGGAAATGAGGAAAGAAAATGAAAGAAAATAGAAAATGGGAAAAAAAAAAAAAAAAAAAAAAAAGGCTAATGAGAAATGAGGAACAAGGAATAAAGGGAGTGAGAAACCATCAAAGTGAAATACGGTAAATGGTTTTTGTGTTGAAAGCAAACGAGGGAATGGTGGAGTTACGAAGCAGCCCGATTGTCCCCTTTTAAAGGATTTGTTAACCAGAGATTTAACCATGGTTAGACTTAACCAGGGTTAGATCCTATCCCTGGTCAACCCCCGGACGAGAGAAATTCTAAAGCCCACTAAACGAGATGCGGTAGCCCTGATAAAGACTAGGGAATCCTCTGGTCCTCACTCCCACCGTAGCTGCCTTCTGTGCCCAATAAACTTTCTCATACGTTGTATTGAATTTTTTTTTCTTTATGCTAGACCTAGTACGTATTTTCTATTTTCGGACAAACTCCTAAGTCCTATGGAAGGTGATTTTTTTTATAAAAAAAAAATGAAAATTAGATGGATTTTCACGTTAACCTTTCTTTTCTTAAGAAAATTTTACGTTACCGTTTTAATTCAAGTTGATGTTTCTTTCTTTTTACATATGTAGACTTAATTATTTTTTCATAAAAATAATGGAATTTTGATGAAAAAGAAAAAACACCTTCTTTAGTAGTACACGTTCTTTATAATTATATTTAAATATAAGAGAGTACACGTTATTGTTAAGTTAAGTCACGTGAACATCGTAATTAATTAATGTTATAAAAGTTTAATATTTAATAACTAGTTCATTTTTTCTTATTTTAGTAAATAATTAGATATATCAATAATAAAGCGGATTTACTTAGTTAATATGAAATTTGCTCAATGAATATGAGATTTCCAAATCACCTTATAAAAATTATATAAAATTTAATAAAAAAAAGTAACATTTTAAACACATTATATCTTTATTCGTATCTTATAAAAAAAAAACTCCATAAAACAATGTTTTCTTTCTACGATAAAATTCTTCTTTTGATACATTATGGTCTAGATTGTTTCATTGGTATGAGTTTTTAATTTAAGTTGAAAAATAATTTATGTGAGAAAATATTATAACATAAAAAGTAAAATTTAAATTTTTATAAAAACAATATTATTACAAAAATTTAAATTATGATTCGAAATAATAAAATAAAAAAAAAACTTAAGTCCTTTTTATTTTACCGATTCGAGTTTTATTATAATAAAAAATTTTAAAAATAATCATATTTAATTTTTTTATTACAATAAAAAAAATTTATATAAAATTATATTTTTAAATTAAAAATTTAAATAAGTGAATTATACGGCCCTTACATATACCATATTTTAATGCCCTTCTTGGCGAACTTGATTGGTGGGTGATAGTTGTCACGTATGCAGCTGAACATTTTTCCACAATGCCATTATAAAGACACGCAAACGGCAGGCTACGTAGCCCCCACACGTATACAATCAACTTTGAAAATATTATCACAAATTTCCTTTTTTTTTCTGTTAGAAAATATTATCACAATTTCCCCTACATGTTGCTCGAACTTAATCAAATTGGAATTCGTGTTCAGTTCCGGATTTACCGTCAACCCTTCCCGTGATATTTACAGTCCAATTAAACCTGCCATAATTAATGTGGATATTTTTTTTTGGATAAATAAATAAGTACCAATAATAAATTTGATATTATCGGTGCGAAAAATTTTATCCTATTAAAGACGAAGCAGATTCTATATTCGCGCACCGAGATTCGGGAAAGCCATTCATCGGCGTCTGGTCGCCACAATAACTGAAAAATAAAGGAAAAATGCACCACGTTGAATATTTGTGATTGATTATAGGCCGTTCATTTTCTTGGTCGCCTAGTACAACATTACGATGTGTTTGAATGAATTTGATTAAGATGTGTCTATTAAGGCCCGTTCAGTTCGCTGATTTGAATTTTTAATTCGAGTTAAGATGTGATTTTATGTAAAAAAATTTTACTGTAGTAAAAAAGTTAGATGTGACTGTTTCTTATAGCTTTTTACTGTAGTAAAACTCAAATTTTAAACTCAAATCGATGAAATGAACGGAGTCTTACAAGTGAATTAAATTCTATTACAAACCTGGTTGATTCAGAATAAAATAAAAAATAAATTAAGGTCTCGTTCATTTTATTGATTCGAGTTTTTAAATTCAGTTTTATTACAGTTAAAAGTTCTCATAAAAAATCACTTTTATCTTTTTTTACTACAGTTAAAAGTCATAACATAAAATTACAAATCAATTCAAATTAAAAACTAAAATTAATAAACTGAACAAAGCCTAAAAAAGAATCGTAATTTTTGTTCGAAATTTTTAGTCCATTCCGACCCTTAAAAATAAAAATTCACCACCCCACCATCATTTTTTGAGAGTATTGTTATTAGAGACAAATGTGGATTCATCACTATATTAATACTGCAAGTATTTGTAGATATTATTTGCGGACATGATTTTACAGATTTTAATCAATTGTGCGTGATAACTCATATTTCTAATTAATAATCATGAGAAAAAAAATTAGTAATTAAACGAAAAGGTGTATGTGAACATCAAAATTTTGATGCACCTGTATCTTTTAATCAATTTTAACTCAGGCATCATTATCATGGAAACGTGAAATGGCAGTACCATTATGCACTTTAATTTCTAGATTTAAATTAATTGCCCATCTTACCTATTCAAATTGCACAACCAAATCGAGCTCATTCATTATGATACAACTAACTTTTTCCTCTGAAAAAGTAAACAAGTAAAAGAAGAAAATTGAAAATGTCCGTGTTTGTTTTTCTTAGACCAAAAAAAAAAAAAGAAAAGAAAAACATGGTTTTTCTTGTCCTTTCATATTATTTCTGGTGCATGACGATTGATGTGCTCCCAAGTCTCTATAAAGTATTAACCATTCACGTGAAAAGGGGCTTCAGCCTTCAAGTTGATAGATTCATATTATTTGTCCTCCTTACGTTATCATAAAATAATTACAAGACTTTTTTTATTTTATCAATTTAAATTTTTAATTTAAATTTTATTATAATTAAAAAATCTCATAAAAAATCACATCTAATTTTTTTATTATATTAAAAAAAATTCACATAAAATCACTTCTTAACTTAAATTTAGAAACGGATGCCGTAATATTTAGAAAAAAAAATTACAATACTAATTTGCTTTGGGCCCGTTTAGTTTATTAATTCGAGTTGAGATGTGACTTTATATGAGAACTTTTTACTGTAATAAAAAAGTTAAATGTGACTATTTTAAAAAAATTTTAAGTCCTTTCATTTCACTGATTTGAGTTTAGAATTCCAGTTTTGCTACAATAAAAAGCTCTTAAGAACAGTCACATTTAACTTTTTTGCTATAGTAAAAAACTTTCATATAAAATCACATCTCAACTTAAATTAAAAACTCAAATCAACGAATTAAAGAAATTTTTATTATAATAAAATTTAAATTTTAAATTTTAAATTAATAAAATTAATAAAATGAACGAGTCTTATCCACCTTAGCAGATTTTTTTTTTTTTTCAATTATTTGTGGATTGTTATTTGACGCCTGAAGAGAGAAAGAGAAACGACAGCTATGTTTACTGTTTAGCCCCAAACTGGACAAAAAAAAAACCCAAGCAAAAGAAAAAGAAAACGACAGGTACTTTTTTTTGGGTAAAGAAAAAGACAGGAACTCATGTCAACGTTTTACAGCACATACGTCAGGCATCATTAAAACGTCAACATCAGCCGCTTATCGTTCGATCATTGAAACAAGTACGGCCGTCAAACAAAGCGCCACGTAAGCTGTCCGAAGCTAAAAACTATCCGAGGTTTAAGCGTCCCTACCGAATACACACGTCATACCGACACGAAAAAGGAAAAACAAATAAAAAAAGAATTCCAAAAAAGAAAAACCAAATTTCACAATAATTTTAAGATTTTTTTTTTTGCACTTTTTTTTTTGGCCTTCCTTTTGTTACCTTGGATTATTGGATATGTAAATTCTGTACCATCTATAACGTGGTCCATAAATTAAATTCCTCCGATTCATGCACATCATTATTCCAATACAATCAGAGTGTGCAACTTATAATATGTGTAATTCTTTTTTTTTTTTCTAGTGCAACTTATAATATGTATAATTCTTTTTTTTCTAGAAAATTATGTAATTCATTTATTGGAAAATAAAAGGTGGTATTTCAAGAAGGGACCAAAAGTTGGAGAAAAAGGGCAAGCCGGGCGATAGGTACTTTTTTTTTTTTTTGCGGATAAATATCAACATGGTTTGGGGATTATGTAATTCATTTATTGAAAAATAAAAAGTGGTATTTCAAATTCTCAAAAAAAAAAGGCGGTATTGAGAAAAAGGGCAAGCCTGGCGAGAGGCACTTTTTTTTTCCGATAAATATCAACATGGTTTGGGGGATTATGTAATTCATTTATTAGGAAAAAAAAAAAGTGGTATTTCAAATTCTAAAAAAAAAAAAAAAAAGTGGTATTTTCAAGAAGGGACCAAAAGTTGGAGAAAAAGGGCAAGCCGGGCGAGAGGCACTTTTTTTTTTTTTGGTGGATAAATATCAACTAATCAATATGGTTTGGGGGATTCTAGATTTTCTTTTCAATAAATTAGAACAAGAATACTTGTCCCATTTAGCAGAAATTGACCGGGGAAATTTTGATTTTTTATTTAAAAATATGTTTGATATAAACAAATACCCAAGTCGTTAAGATAGATTTAAAAATATGTTTGATATAAACAAATACCCAAGTCGTTAAGATAGATTTATGACATTTCAATATTAATTTTTTAAATTTGTAAAGTTCTAATTGAAATTAAATTTGTTTTTTGCTGAAATAGATACCATTTGACATGAGCAGATAGAAAAAGATGGGGCAGGATTAATACCGAATACAAAATTGGTACCTTTTGAGGATTTTTTTTTTTTTTTTAGAATAATATAGCTTTCAAGAACTTTATTCTAATACTCTTTACTAAATTTTCCTTGCAGATATTATGTTTCCTTTAAAGGTGCGATATTTAAGAATATATAACATAAATCCCACCCTGATTCAGGTAGATTTTCTTTTTAACTAGGAGAAATTTTAATAAAGTAATTAGATAGCAATTTTAATTAAT